ATGGTGCTGCTGCTCAGATGTGCACAGCACCGCACGCAGAGCTGCTTCTTATTAGCTTGAAAATATCCAGAACTGTCCCTTCAGCAGGCATGGAGCTTTGTAGCCTTTTGCGAGCTGAGAGACTTTCTTTTCCCTGCACAATTTCCCACACCCGCTGCTCAGTGGCTTCCCCTCGGTATTCCTGTGCCCGTGAGTCACTTCCCAGCTACTTTCTGCCTACACAGAGCCGAGGTGCCGACGGTGTTGCTGTGATGTTGAGCATGAAACCCAAGGGATTTGCTGAATCAAGACTGTGTTCAAGCATTTCCTTTTTGTTGACTTTTTAAAAAAGATTTCCCGTCTCTTTTTCTTTTCCTCTCTTGCTTTTTGTAATGATTCATCACATCTACAAATTAGCTTGGTCTGCAGAGTCTGTGTTTGTTTTCCATTGATGGCCAGGCCAAAGAGGTGCTTTCAAATAGACTTTTTTCTCTTGGAGAGTCCGATGCCAGCTGGGGACCAGAGGACTGCTGTGGGGAAGTCAGGGAAGGAACTAATTTGCCTAGGGCTACGAAGAAGTTATCAAAAGTTGAGGTTTGGAAACTGTTGTGAAGTCGGTGTTCTTAAAAGGAGGGTCCAAAAACACCGTGACACTAAAGTCTGACCTTGAATACTTCGGTGCATCAGCATTACTTAGTTTGGACCAGGAACCAACTTTCTGAGCAAATCTCTCAGTTCCCACTGACCGTGCTTTGTTCTGAATTGTGGAGCAGCTCTGGAAGAGATGAACCCAATGCCTTTCAGATGAAACACATTCTTATAAAACATGTTCCAGGAGCCCACCTGGTGCACTCCAGCCACAGACGGGTATTCAGTCCATGCCATGCCTCAGATAGCACACCACCTTCCATGGGGCAGCTGCTGAAGTGCTCAATTTTAGGTTTAGCATAGGGAAAAATCAAATGTTCAGCATGGACAAAGAACAACAGCCACTGCTCTACTATGCACCATGCATAGAAAACCTAATAATGTTTGGGGAAAAAGATCATCTGTTGTCTACAATTGTGTTTAGCAAAAAGAAAATAAAATTATGACATGAGATACCACTCATATGAGAGAGTTACCATTACAGAGATGTTTAAAAGATGCTAAATTTATTGCATATGAAGCCCTTTTGGACATCTCAGAACCCCATTAGTCTCTGCATAGATATACATAAGTTTATATTTGATATATATATTATATTATATGTAATATACACATTTCATACACACACACACACACACATATATATCATAAAACAGCCTCCCTATGTATGTCATTATTTTTAACACAGTCAACCTATTCTTTACTCCCGCTAATCTCTGTGAGGGATTACGCAGATTCTTTAACGTGTTGTTGTGGTCCCATTCCTTCCTTTGTATATAGAAACTCTGTAAAATTACTGATGTGTAACCTGAAAGCAAATAAATCTTGATATCTGAAACATAAACTTTGCTGCTTCTGCTGTAACTGGCTCTACAGGATACAAGGATGGTGAAAAGCGGTTATAGTTGTAAAAGCTTAATTATTGTTTAGTAATTACTGGCTGAAATAAATTAAATGTCAAGTGCGTCTGTAGTAAAAAATGACATCATGTATGATATAATTAAATACACAGAGCTATGTTTAAATAGCTGTAAGTGTCTGGCAAGCCAAATCAACCAAAAATTCAAAGACAATATTGACACTTTGCCCTTACATCACACTGTCATGAATAAAAGTTTGTCACAGAAATCATGTAAGTCTTAATTATGATATTTTTGGTAGATTAGGGTTTATTTTTATTTTTTTTATGATTATTTTTAGTTCTATGGTAATAAAAGCCAATGAGAATGTTATATTGAACAGTTGGCATATTCGGGGGAAAGTAAAAGTCTATCAATGTGTAATACCACCTGGTTTTATACATATAATGTAATCTATATATATATTCTGATACCATTTACCTACAGGCTCTGAGAAGAGCTGCCCAAACACGTAGTGCGACTGCTACCAAATTTTGCATATTCAGTGGCATCGACCACATGTGATCACAACAAACAGTCTTAAACTGGTTGTTCTGACATCAGCACAACACAAAAATGTTCTTGCAGACTGACCAAGCTGTACAAAAAGCTGCAGCAGAAGAGGAATATCCATTGGCTCCTAGGACAAGTTTGATGGTTCGCTGGGGCTTCTCCCTTGCTCCAGGTCCAGAGAATCTCGGCGTTGTTCTTGCTGGCAGCTTTAAGCCTAGATTTGGGAAAATTAAGAGGAACTTACATATGTAATGCTTAAAGACCTGTGCAATAACTCCACTAGTTGGTAACACAAATATTGATTAACTTTTACTAGCCATCGATACTCTTAGTTTTTCTTATCGGGCACTTCCACCTTGCCAGGGACGCTGAAGCCCCGCAGCTCTGGGGCAGCGCGCTGGCCCCAGCCTGTGCAGCTTTTGTTCCTTTGTTCTCTGTGGCCCCAGCTTCCCTGTCAGGGCGAGCGTCTGTGCAGCTTGGTCATGGTGGCTTTTCTTTTTTTTTTTCTTTTTTCTTTTTTACTTTTTACTTGCTCACCTGCAGACTCTGTTCATATTGTTTTATGGTACTTTAGACAACGGGTTTTAACAGCTAAACATAAAAGCCACTGAGAGCATAAACAGGAAACTTGTGTTTAGGTGGGAGTGCCTAGGAATTTTATACTGCTGACCACAGAGGCCATGGGAGAAAGGAAATAGGAAAAACACTGTAAATACCTGGGTGACTAATGACTTGTGCTGCTCATCTGGCTCCTCAGCACACGAAAAGTTCAGCGTCTTCCCGGCAAAACAGCACATAGCCAGCAAGATTTCTCCCCGTGCCCCTCTGCTGCCTGTCTCCCTGCTCCGTGCCTGCTGCAGCGTGCAGAAAGGGCCTCGTTTGTGCCAAGCTGCAGCGTGAAATGGTCGAACAAACCTTCAACAAATGGTCACCCAGCCCTCCCGATGGCGGAGGGAGGGCGAGCAAAGCGCGAGGGTGCTCGCCCACTCCTCACATTCACGCCGCCTAAGAGGATTTAGATGAAAGTAACCAAATTTGCGCTCCCTTGTTTTGTGGCGAGGCAGCAGCTGGGGTCTGGGGGCAGCGAGCGCCTTTGTCAGGCGCTTGGCCGCGGGCTCCCTGAAGGATTGCCATTGTTCCTGAGGGGCCTCCGCGGGGCCGCTCCCGCTCCCTCTCCCTTTTATCGCCGGTCGCATGGCTTGCGAGAGGTTTTGTCTTCTGCTGATTGCAGCAGATTTCGCGACCGGCATCTCCCATGCGGCGGCGGCGGGGCGGGATTTCCAAGTGGGCCATCTGCGCAGGGGGGACCGGTGGCTCGGGGCGTCGTGGTGGTGTCCCAGCGAGTCCCCCTCTGAGGCCTGCGCTGCCTGGCGCGACCGCGACATCTGGTCACGACATCTGGTCACCTCCGCTCGGCGCGACGGGTCCGGTTTCACCCGATACCACGGTGGCTTTCCCACATGAACACTCGCAGCCGGCAGAGGAGGGCTGAGGGCTGGCAACGACGATCTCCAGGGGCCAGGTTTTGGGGCACAGGGGCCGTGTCCCAAAACTGGCTGTGGGCACAGCCCAGCATGGCCTGAGGTGTTCGTGCCATGGCAAGGCAGGGTGCTGTGGGATGGGGGAGCCCGTCTGGGCCCCCAACACCATCCTGGCTGCCTCTACCTCCTATAACAGAAACCCACAGTCCTCTTTTATCAAGCTCCAGTGCAAAACCAGTAATCCCCAGGTAGCACTGGTGTGCCCTGACTGCTTCAGCAAACCACCGGCATCGGGACGTGGGTCCTGATTCAGAAACGTGTTGAAATCGAGTGTGTTATTGAGTAGGGGCAGGATTTCACTGATGAAAAGTTAAGCACGTCTGTAAGTATTTCTCTGAATCCCGGCTACAGTTCCATCCATAATGAATTTCTTTAATTGCTGAGGTGATAGGATAAGCAATGTTTGGCAGGGAGCCAGGGAGGAGAGCTTTATTATGTCAAGGCATGATCATTTCTAGACTGTGTAAACACTGTATTTTCATTGATACAGGTACATATATAGCGTGTATGTATCTATATGCCATACAGATTAAGGTATAGGTAGAATTGACTCAGCCTTTAACATGGTTACCTTTTCCTGTGCAGTTATAAAAATACATCAGGAAGGTTGCTGCAATCCCAGAACAGGAGGCCAAACACCTATGGCTGTATTTCTTTATTTTTCCATGAATAATACAGTGACAAAAGATCCCATGCTCTCTAAAGTCTCTTAAGGAGAAATACAGTACAGAGCATGCTGCAATCCAAGCTGCCCAGTGCAGTGTTCCCATGCGATCCAAGGGGATCCACTCTGACCCTGGGTTCTCCTCAAGCAGGGCATTACTAGAAGCAAGCAAACAACATCACTGCTGTCGAGGGAAATAGCGAAACTCTTGTCAGGTAGGTCCAAAACTGCATCTCTAAATGACAGCCCCAAAGCAGAAGTCTCAGACAGACCGAGCTGTAGCAGGACTGCAGTTCTGAAATTTTAGCTCCCCTCTGACCATTTTGCAATGCACAGCCTGGGTGGGTGCCTTGCTTTCCTTATGCTGTATCACAGTGCTGGGGCACTGTCAAAGAAAGCATGGCAGCGCCTGCACAGGCCTGCAGGAGATGTGCTGTATGGCTGATTTGGGGTGGGCACGACATCCCTCCTTCCACTCAGCTGGGTTCCTAAGCCAGATGAATGCCACGTCTCACACACGGACTCTGAAGCTATATCCAGAAGAGCATAGTGGTCAGAGCACTTCTCAGGGTTTTACTTGTAAATCCCTTCTCCTGCATAATACCGAAAAGGGGCTCGAACCCAAGGCTCTCCTCTGTTAAATACCCAAGCTGCTGAGCCACGAATTTCAGGGATTCCTTTTGAAACTCTTCCACTTTGTATAAAGTGATTAAATATTCATGGGAACGGGGACTAGAAGCAGGCCTCTTGGATGAGCACCCCCACCCCAAGCCGCAGATCCCTTTTCACTCCAATCCTCTGAATATTTAATTAGTTCATACAAAGCAGAGCAGTTTCAGCAGGGAAGGCTGAGAGAGACCTAGGCAGTGAGACCCACTGATTAAGGTACTCAGCAGAAGGACCTGATCCCAGGGCCCTGCTCCAAAGCAGGCAGGGGAAGGATTTAAGCATTCATCACAGCACGGCTGCTAGCGTGTTAGCTATTCACAGCAGAGGATGTGACACTTCCTTTCTCTTCTCTCCCCCACCCGGTCTTTTATGCCGGTTCGATGTGGTTTAACCACCTTAGAGTCCAGTAGGAAGACAGGATGAGGAATGCTTCGTTTGTGTCCTGAAAACTGTACAAAATGAATGAATGAAAATTTGATGAGGAGTTTTTTCACCCATTCAAGCACTTCCCTTAATAATTCAGATGTTTGATTTTCTTCGTCAGTATGCAGTAAGGATTAATGCACTTTTGGGATGAAATGGAAACTTTAGTTTTCAGAAAAGAAAAAACCCTCAGATTTTAAAACAAAAATACCATAGAGGAATACTGCTGGGTGAGCTGCTATCATCCTGATTCCCCTGACTGGTGACTGTCACAGGCTTTGCACTGAAATTTCAGGATATAGGGATCTTTTGCAGCCAACCTCTAATAAACAAAGTTCACAGTGGAAATGCTGACAGGCTGTGATCAAAGCAGTACCCTCAGGTGTTGCTGTGATACATCGCTTGCTTACTGAAACAGAGCAGTTCAAACAGCCTGGCTGTATTTAATTGGGATATACAGTATTTCCAACTCACACAGCTCAACACCAAAGAAGGTTTCTGTTAGATCTTTCACTCTGCTATTGTTCTGCTATTTGCTCAGAAAAAAAGAAAGACATTTAGGACACCAAATTCTGGTGTTTCACCTGGAACGAAGATACTAGGACAATCTATAGCACAGACTTAAGCTTTATAGGAGGCTGCCCTGTGAGCACTCATCCTCTGCTTGCACTCAGAAGACTATCTTCACCTCCTCACAGCTTGGGGGAATTCTTCTCCAGTGTTGGCTGAATATCTTTACTTCAGTTACATCAATTGTATATGTAAAAAAATGACACTAATAGTATGCTTTAATGAAGTTTTGGTTTCTCAAAAGTAATACACCATTCAGTACAGTACCAGATCCTGGCTCCCAGCCTTAGTCTTCTTGATGGAACAGTCCTGACACTCTCACGATCATCTCCCTCCCTTTGTTTTTGGCCAGTGAATTCCCATTCACAACCAGTTTCTGCTACTTCTTTCTCCCACGATCTATTTGTGTGTTTTCTTGATCTCAGTCAAGTTTTTGCATCTTTTCCAGTTTCTCTGAATAATTCCTTGTTTACCCTGCCCAGATGCCAGCAAGGACATTACTTTGAGAGCAAGCACCCATAACCTACTTCTACCTGGAGCAACCATTACTGGAGCAATCCACCTTTTTTCGGCTGTAGTATGTTCAGCACATGGTGAAGATGATCACATTAGCTTGGTCCCAGGAAGGAGGTGTGAGGGGACAGAGCGTGTGCCCTCAGTCTTTGGGGATGATCAACATCTTCTCTGCTGGCTACAGAAGCCCTGAGAAACCTGCATATGCTTCTGAAAGATGGGACGTATGGAAATGTTTGTTGCTCAAATAAAAATGTCTCTACTGAGCATGGGAAAAGTGTGGTTTTATTTCACAAGTTTCTGACTTGGCTTAAATAAGACAGTCTCCTACAAGAAAACAAGAGGCATCTCACAACTGAAGACATCACTTTGCCTCCGCTCCAGCATTTTGAGCCACTGCTACAAAGCCCCAGGAAATTAGATTTTTCTGAAAAAACAAGACATTTTCTTGATTCCAGTTCTCAAAATCTGGTAAAGAGTTTTGACTAAAATTTTTCCAAAAATTCAGCCCTAGGCATACACCTGGAATATAAAATTTCATCCACAAATGTCAAAGTTTGGCAATGTCTGAAGATGTGGTTTTATAATAGGAAATATTGGGCAAACTTCATATTATGCTGTATTAGCTCCGCCTATTAAAAATATTTCCTTATGTGTAGCAAAGAATTTTTTACAAACCAGTATGTGCAGATGTTGTCACCATTTCCTAGTGTGCAATAGCTCAGTAATTCTGACTTTTCCAAAATTACCAAGTACAACAAGACAACATTAATAGAATAATCCAACGATTAATTTTTTTTTTTAAATAAAAACTTTCTTTGAATTATGCTGAAGAACTACACACCTCTAAATCAAATAATTTCTATTTAATTACATGGATATTAGTTAAAAACAGCTGAACTGACTTTTTTAATTTTTTAATTGTGAAAATTCTCTCCCAGGCTGAACTGTTCTGTGCCAAGTTTCAGAGCCGAGCACATTTTTACGGTCTAGTTATAAACCCTAGAAAAACAACGTTTATAGGAAATGTTGACACAACCTTAACTAAAGTGGTGCTAGCTGACACCTCTATATTTTCAATTTGGGGATTTCTACTGGGAAAATATAAACGCTAATGCAGTAAAGGAAGCCAACTATAATAAAACCCTCATAGTCTTCCTGTTCACCCCATGAAGACCTACTTCAAAAAGCACCAACTCAGACTGGAGATGCGTTGAAGTTAACTGCATTCCTCTGAGGGTACTAAAAATTACCTGCAGGTAGTTCAGCCTTACAGTTATTTGCAAGGCTGCATTTTGGTCAAAGCCACGTGAATATCCATTTAAAAAGTCCTGAAAAGAAAATGAGAATGTGCATAAGCTGAAAAAAAAGGTGCTAGTCCATTTATATTCCTCCTAGCACAGCGTAAAAAGAGGAATATAGACTATAGATTCTAGTGAAACAAGTGTAAGTACTCACAGGGGACAAGTACAAGGAAGGAAGGTGAAAAGCAAAATTAGCTTTCTTACCTGTATCTTGTTAGATCTTGCTCACCTAAAATGAATTAATAAAGGACTGTGACCTCTGCTTACCTTCTTTTTAAAGGTGTTTGCATGCAGTCGTGAACCAAGTAAGATCAGGATGATTTTTCAAGACGCCTTCTGAGATCTGAAAGTCTTGGGTAGCTGAACCTGCCTCAAAAATGAAAACCAGCCACGTTAGCGATATACTGGAAAGTATTTATAGTGATAGTGTTGGAGGGATGGTGTTAAAAAGGTGGTGAAATAATCTCAGAACTTAAACATGAAGTTCAGAATGAAAAAGAAGTTATACTGTTTATGGATAAAATGTGCTAACACATCATTTTCTTTGAGGAGATGACTAGCTTTGTGGATGAAGGGACTGCAACTGATGTCATTTAGTTGGATTTTTAGCATGATTTTGAAGATTTTCTCCCACAGCATCCTTGTAGTCAAACTGGGGGGAGAGAGAAATGGGCTATGAGGAAACCCATGAAGTTCAACAGAAGGAGATGCAAGTCCTGCACCAGGGCTGAAATAACTCCACGAAGCAAGACAAGCTGGATTCAACTGGGTAGGTGGTGGCTTGGCAGGAAAGGAGCTGGCATCCGTGCTGAACAACACGTTGAACAAGCGTCGGCAGTGTGCCCGTCTGCATACGGGGTTGCATTAGGAAGAGTAAAGCCATCAGGTCGAAAGAATTGACGGTTCCCCTCTGCTTGGCCCTAGTGGGACCTTGTGTGAAATAAAGTGTCTGGTTTGAGATGGTGGTACCCCGGTCTGCTGGGTTCCAGATGCCATTCAGACTCCTTTAGACAGACTGAGTGCTGGTGGAGCTGGATACTTGCCTGCTCCTGAGGGGAGTCCAGCCTTCCTTGTTTTTAAGGAGAGGCATGTGGACTCTCTAGCAACATTGCAAAGTATTGGCCTGACTTTTTATTTAGTTGATATCATGCATAACCTTCACCTCTTCTGAGGCGAACACTAAAAAGTTATATGCAAAGCCAGAATGAATCATCCCAATAAACAAATGCAAAACAAATGCAAAACATATTGACCTCTTCTTAGATCTTGTGGTGACCTCCCCTTGCGTAGCTGTAACCCTCTCTATTTCACGCAGTTAACAATCTGGAGTGCTTTGATTCAGTGAGGCACTTGCTGCTTTTACCATTACTTTTGTGTTAGGTCTAATTGACTATTAAGAAGGTGATTTGGGTTACACCCCAATTAAAGGCAGACATACCTAACCTGCTGTGGCTCCCAAAAGACCTTTCACTAAGGTATCTCCATGAGCTTTGGATGATTTTTTTTTTAACCTTACTAACATTTCAGCCTTGCTGGAAGCAATTTATATAGTTTCTGCCTGCTGCCTCCTTCTTCTTCTGTTTTCCCCAAAAGGTTTCACAAGGTATCACAGTAACCTTGGCAAAAATGTGCAGTCGTCTTTAAGGTTAATGCTAAACTGCTGTAGCACATTATTTGAAGGTTTAAAGGAAAGATAGTAAGTTTCAGTGTGTACCTGTCAGTACTAAATGATTGTTCATTTCCTGTGAATTGGGAATAAAGTAATAACATACATCTGGCGAGCTAAGACGTTGCTTATTTCTTTTTCTTCTCTGAGCCGTATCCTTTACCAGCTGTGAGACATCACCATGCGGAATCTCCAAATACCTTTGAGGAAAATTAAAACAAAGGAACAGAGGGCTGGAAGGGACCCCCTGTGTCTCTGAGCCCAGTCCCCCGCTAGCCCCAGGCCACATCACACAATGCCTTTCATCACTTATTCCCTCTCCATCTTACAGCCCCTTCTGCGCCTCCATAACTTGCATTGGAAGTCCAGTGTCGATTGCTCAACTGGCTAGAAAACCGCCTTTCAGCTTCCAGTCAAAACACATCCATGGGCAGCTTATGCCCATTTGTTCTTGTGCCAACGCTGTACTTTATCTTCAAAAGATCTTTTCCTTCCTTATGTTTAACCTCTTGATGTATTTACAGAGAGCAATGAAATTCCATATCAACTTTAGTTTTGCGGCACTAAAGAAGTCAAACTCTTCTGACCTCCTTGTGCTCAGGACTTCCATTCTCCATCATCCCCACTTGTTCCTGGGTCATCTTTGACCCAGAGGGCTCTTGCTGGACATCGTGTTCCAGATACAGTCTCACCATCCTGTTTTGTTACTTGCTAATCATTTTCTCCTGTGAATCATTCCAGAAGACACGCTAAAAGGATATACATCACCAAATGTACTAACTACATTGAGAAAAATCCAATTACAAACCTCTTTCCATTCTTTAATGTAATATTTCTAAATGTTAGATGGTTGTGGGCTTTGCAAGACGGTAGAGGTCTGAGGATGGATACCAAAGCACACATTAAAACCTAGACCAGGAGGCTAAGGCATGGAAACAGCCACGGGAATGCAGTGACCAGAATGAAAAGAGTGCAAGGGAGAGGTGGAGTAGGATTTATTGCCACACTGCAATATATGATAAAGGACCTGATTAGAAACTAGCTGTCAAATTCAATTCTTTATATTCTCCTGGTATGAAAAACACTTGAAACATAACAATACATATTTACATGAATAAAAACCTCAGCCTGTGGTGTTTTCACGTCTTCCATTTGAAAGCATAAAGGATGGCATGTGAAATTTAGTTTATGCTATAAATACTGTTTGCTTCCTGCATATCTCCAAGTCAGAACAAAAGGAAAATGTAACCAGAATGATTAAGTGGAGAAAATAAGGTCTTATGCATTTTTCTCCACGTGCACTCACTCTATTCAGCTCTTGTGTAACTTAATGTAAAAGTTTAAATTTTATGTCCCCATTGTTCATTTCTGAGCCGTTACCTGAATAAAATGCTTGGAAGGAAAGAGGAAAAAAAAAAAAAAGAGAGATCTTATATAATGAATGCTAGTGTATCGTCTTTTACAGAATAAAATTCAAATGTACACATTGTTTATTACGATACTAAAATAATAAATTTCCTCAGTCTTTCACAGCAGTTCCAGAAATTGTCTCTTTCATGTTTTCTGCCAGTGTTGAGATGTGTCCCACTAGAATAATTTTCTTTAGTATCACACAGCACATAAATATCATGGTTTTATCTGATAGCAATGAATCCTAGAGGCAAATAGTTCATTTCCAGCCCTTTCATATTATATTCATAAAGGTACGAGGGCAGCTTGAATCATTAAACATTAAACTGAGGACAGCTTTCAGGAGAGACCTGAGAGGGGATCTCCCCGTTGGATTAAACACAATGTTCTCGTTGCAGAAAGTGGCTAACTCGGATGCACGCAGGAGGTTAGTTCAGCTGCTGCGTTAGTTCCCAGACAGAAGAAATTGTGGTTTGTGCAGTTTTATTTATTTATTCATGTATCTATTTTATGTAAGAAGCACATTCACAGTCATTGTTCAAATGCAGTTGTATTAGGCAAACTTTTTGTGCCTTTTCTGCCCCTTTGTTGTTCTCTAGGCACAGGAGTGCTGTTGCTCTGCATGTAAATCTGTGTATTTTAAAGATATTTTTCCTTAGTGGCCTGCTTGTTGGACTGGTTGAAGCTCCGAACAGGGTGGTTTGCAATGGACATTAAGCACATGCTGGTCCTTTTTCAGGCAGGAATGACCTCTTGAATTCAGAGCTGTAAAGCGCAGCTACTGTTTACTCAGTTGAGGGGCAAATCATGCTCCACAGGTTTCATATTCTCAGGTTGGTTGTAAACCTTTTCGTTATGCTTACACTACGTTCTGGGACTCAGATTTCTCACCCTCCTGTGGTCCCTGCCTGTATGGGGCTCTCTTGAAGGAGCTGACTGATTCATCCTGGTTCCGTCAGTCACACACCCAAATCGCCATCAGCTTCACCGTAATGCCCAGGCATGGGGAAAAGTCGGCTGCACTGAAATAAAGTCACTACTCGGGATCATATTTTTTGTTCTAATATCCTCAAATGAGGCTATTTCAGGAATTGGGAGTAATTCTCTTGGAGAAACAAAGTTTATATAGCCAACATAAACAAACCTATGCCTGCTTCATGCCAGGGAAGGAGAGAAGTGGATGATATTTCTTTTGCTACCAACATAGGCTCTTTTGCTCGAATAGTATTTTTGGCAGATGCTACCATATTTAACTTCCCACAATGGCACTGTTTACTTAAGGCCAATATAAAACATCCCTGGCCCTTCTCTTAGATTTCTCAGTCCCTCGGTGGACTTTCACGTGTCCTTTTAAGCACATTTTTTGTGGTGCCTTTGGAATCACTTCTTGGTGCCTTTACACGAAATATTTCCAGGCAATGAGGACCCCAACTTAGCAGGGCAAGGAGAAGTGCTGCAGCAGCTGTACATTGCTCATATATTTCACTACCTTCTGTACACCCTGTTCTCATGAGTGGTTCGGAGGAACAAAATTACTGCCAGAGGTCTACCTAGCCAAGTACCTTGTCACCGACAAAGATCAGTTGTGATGACTTAGAGAAGAGCGTAAAAAAAGGACGGTGGTGCTCTGCCTAACGGGTGCTGGCACTTCTGGCAATCGCTGTGGCCAAGGCTGTGTTGTGTTGTTTAATCAGGCTGACCCGTGAGAAATTTACTTTTGGATCTTGCTCTCTGCATTTCTGTGGTATCGGAAATGTATTTGCATCTATAAATCTCTCCCAGCTTGGCACTTGGTTTTAAACTCAGATCTCTGTAGCTGTAAAAATAAGTCCCAAATTTTTACAGGAAGTTTACTAGGGCCTTCCAGATAATGCCTTATGGTCAGATAACACAGCCTCGGCTTTCTACTGAATACAGCCATTTTTCTCCCAGGATTTCAGGCTGAAGCCCCGTTTTCTAGGTGAGCACAGAGGCACCGTTCCTGTTTGCACCCACTGTGTGTGAGTTGCTGGTCTCTGGCTTTGGATATGCTGGAGGAGAACTGCACTCCAACCAAAGACACTTCTTTGCAGTACCCAGCACATTTGGTGGGGTGGCCTTGCAGTGGCCCATCTGCACCCTGCCTAACGTTTCTCCCAGATGTGCTATTGCTGTTGGACAGGACAGATTGCTGGCGTTTAGGTAAAGCCCTGGCTCCTGATGCTCAGAGCTTCTGGTCATGTTCTTCTAACGTTTTCCCAGGTAAAAATATCACCCTCTACTTTTGTACCTTCATCACCATCATTGCCTTTTTTCTGTATTTTCCTGTGAAATAGTGTGGGTGCCAAACACAACCCAACCAGCGTCTCCCAAAGAAGGTGCAGAACGTGCACAAACATGTGCTCTGTTTTCCTAAGGACACCTGCCAGAATCCTGCTGATGCATCAAGCACAGGAAAATATTTGGCACAAACCACGTCTCCAAAGATTTCTCTCCTTGTAGGTAGTGGAAAATATTCATTTTTAAATATATTTATTATTTTTTTTGGTTCTCTCTATGTAAGTGAATGCTTCTGTCTTTCCCTGCCGCAGTGTCCAATAAGCACAGCCACACTTGGTTTCTCAGATCTCTCAGAGCACTTATCCAGTCCCATTTTAGCTCCTGCCTTGAAGTAAGTGGTGTGAACCCACCTTGCTGCTGTGCTTTTGAGAGTCTCCTTCTTCCCCAGAAGGCATCCTCTCCTTCTTTTTCAGGTCTTTTTAAGTCCTTGGACTTTCCAACAGATGCATCTTCTTAATGGCACGAGGATGTTTTGAATAATGGGTACTGTTTTCACTGGTGTACTCACAAACTGTGATAGAATATTAATAAACAAAGCATTAGCTCTCTCAGGCAGGATTAGGTGGAATGAGATGTACAGCTCTGCAGTCACGGGCACGTATCTGTGCTGTGAGATCCAGAATGGGGAGGAAGACAAAGTCTCCGGGAGGATAAAAGGGGAAAAGAGTAAGAGGGCTTTGATTGCAGGGATTGCTAAATATCAAACAATGAAGATCTGAGTCTTTTTATGTGCAAAACGCAGACTCAGCCAAAGGACAGGCTTTTATATTAATGGGGGATTTTAACAATCCAGGTATTCGTTGGTGAAAGAATGCCGCAGAATGCCGACTGTCCAGTGAGGTCCTGGAATTACTGGCGATGTTTTTTTATAAAAATGGGGGGAGGAATCAGAAATCAGACTTTCTGGGGTTTGATGCTAAGCAGTAAAGAATTATATGAGAGTGCGAAGGTGAAAGACAGCATGTGTTAGAGTAACCTCGGAGTCAAAGGGTACGTGATCCCTGGAAAGGAAATGAAGAAGAACAAAGGACAGTAATGGACTAGAAGTGGAGGGACTTCAATAGGCTACTAGAGAGCTGGTAGCTAAGTGAACATAAGCATTAAAGACAGCTGTAAATTCCTCAAAGAAATATTTCTAAGGACAGTAGCATATATTATTCCACATCAGAGGAACTTTAAAAA